TGGTTGGGAACCAGATTGAAAATTGTCTGAGTGAAGTTTATTTATAAACTGATTTCGAGAGGATCAAGTGCTTATGATTGATCACAGCCGGTCCCGCATTATTCAGTTTATAATTCACCAATCAGACGATTCCTAAGCCACTATAAACACCCTCAGCTCCACATCACAGCCATCTTGGTTTTGAAGAATCCCCCCTTCCACCCCTACTCCTTCTCCTTTCCTAGATGGCTGGCACGGTGGCCCAGTGGTTATCACTGTTGCTTCACAGCAAGAACGTCACTGGTTCTGGTCCTCACCAAGCCAGCCGATGTTTCTGTGTGGAATTTACACGTTCTCACCGTTCAAAAACATGCAGCTTAAGTTAATTGACTAATCCAAATCAGCACCGTAGACATGCTCCTAGTCAGTAGTTCTCTCTTAAGAGCGATCACTATCTGTTTATTAGCTACTACAGCTGGGGAGATCTCCAGATCTACCTGAGCTCAAACTGCCCTCGTCTTGCAAACGGGAGGGAGCCCCGGGCTCGAGGATCTTATGAGCACAGGACAGCATGATGAACATGCTTTATAATCAATCATCAGCTGAGTGTCAACTCTTGACACATCCTTAGAGCTTAAGAACTTAATTACTTGGTTAAAAACAACTTTTGTTGTGACTATAAGTTGTAGAAACTTAGATGTAGTCAGTCCATTTCAGTATGTAGTAACTCAATAGGGTGGTATCCAGGTTGCTCTTTTTAAGCGGGGTTTAACAGCTGCACTTTTAAGTGAGTTTGGAAAAGTCTCAGAAAGAAGTGAAGCGTTTACCACTTTTAAACAGTTAAACATCGTATTGAAGAACAATATGGGGAGTGTGTCTCTTATCAGTTTTCGTTACTTTGACCACAGTAGTCTCAGATCTACATCTAATATGTCCCAGATTTGAATGATTTGCTATACGCCTTGGAGAGGCCTTCGACTGTGTATGGCACAATAAAACGGATATCCTCCTGGGGAACGCTACAGGCACACTGGTCTCCTGCTTGTTCTGTAAACATTTGATCAGAAGATACTGTTCTCTAAGCACCCGACACTCATCACTGAGAGTTGTTTTCACCAGCTGATGATGGGGGGTTTTGGGACCCCTGGTGCTCCTACAGAGATGGGTGTGGAGCTCCCCGCTTTCTGGTCACCAACTGGGTTTTTGCAGCAATGTGAGAGTCTGATGAAATAGAGAGCATGTCTGGTGACAGAGGTTGTGGCGATACTGGAGATACTGGCTGCTGAAATATATTGTCCTGGCGGTTTTCCTGGAGATCATCCATGAGTCCTGAGTCTAGAAACTATTCTGATATGTCACAGTATATCCATGTTGAACTCAGTGTACAGGCGGCAGTGTGTCCATGAGCAGTGGTTGTTGTGGCTGCATTGTAATACGTGTCGTTGACATGCCCACTTGGTTTGAAGTTGTGTGGTCAGTTGGACACTCGCCAGGTATGTGTGTACCATTTGGGCTGAGTTCAGTGTCACATAAAGCAGCTCTTTTGCACCAAGTTTGTTTAGATGGAGGCCGTCTGATGTAAAGTATTGTCTTTAATTCCAGAAGAGATTGAAGTTGTCAGTTAAATCCTGGTTTATGTTTTCTGCAGCTCTGTATTTAGATTAAGAAACCTTGAAAACATTTGTTTTTTGTTCGCAGAGAGTGGTCAACTGTGTCCAAGAGTTGACAGAATAGCAGTTCTGACTGCTCTTTATAAACATCATTTCCCCCCACATGGATGAAAATCGTCTTCACTGTCTTGTGCTTCTTCTCAATTCTTTGTTTACATTAGTATTTGCATTTGTTTACATGTACACTGTTGTGTGAGGGAAGCAGGGAATGTCATTGTAGCTCTGCTCCCACCATACCTGATTATTCAATCACCAATAATCAGCTCTGACCACGCTTGCGACGGCGCAAAATGCCGCTGACTGCTCAACCTTGATCCCGTTCAATTCAGAATTGGCTGCTGAGTCACGAGATCTCTGTCTGACTGCATTTTAGGACTATTCACCCATATTGCTCAATGCTCCATATTTCGTCTGGAGCTGTACTTGAGTCCGAGCTGTATTTGGGGTAGAGGACGCTAATGTGCATCAGCGTATGATTCTTGTTATCTGACCCTGCGAGTACCTTGTTCTTGCACCATGTTTGTTTTTGGTTTTAGTACCTTTTTGTCTCTTAACGATTTAATAATCTTGGGATGCTATACACACAATTAACATGATTAAATGTAAACAATTCACCTAACGATCCATTCAGAGTAACTGTCCACTACATGATCCATTCAGAGGGAGTCTTCAATAAACTCTTAAAAGTAGACCAAACTCTGGAGAAGTTTGGATCTTTTGTGCTCATATATATATGATTCCCTGCAGACTTGTTTTTTAGATGTTTGCTCACAGGTTTTGGTGTAGCTGTAAGCAAGCACATGGACAACACAAACCCAGGTGTGATGGGTAAATGGTCTCTTATGGATTTAATAATCTAGGGATGCTACGCATGAACCATTAAGGTGATTAAATGTAAACAACTTACTGATTCAAATGATTTGTTCAGAGCGAGTCCCTAACTCACTGATTCAAATGATCCTTTCAGAGAGAGTTTTCAGTAAACAACTCACTAATTCAGAACATCCATTTAGAACAGGCATGTAAAAACTCGGTCCTGGAGGGCCGGTGTCCTGCAAAGTTCAGCTCCAACCCCAATCAGACACAACTGGGCTAGTCAATCAAGCTCTTACCAGGCTTTCTAGAAACATCCTTGCAGGTGTGTTGAGGCAAGTTGGAGCTAAAATCTGCAGGACACCGGCCCTCCAGGACCGAGTTTGGACACCCCTGATTTAGAATGAAACTCTAGTTAACAACTCACTGATTCAAATGATCTGTTCAGAGTGAGTCTCTAACTCATTGGATCAAATGATTCCTTCAGAGCAGAAAACAACTCACTGACTCAACTGATCCATTCAGAGCGAGTCTTTAGTTAACAACTCATTGACTCAAATGATTCGTTCAGAGTTAGTCTCCGGTAAACAACTCACTGATTCAAATGATTCATTTTGAATGAGTCTCCAACTCATTGACTCAAAAAATCCGTTATGAGTGAGTCTCCAGGACAACTCGCTTATAAAAGTAGACCAAATTCTGGAGAAGTTAGGATCTTTTGTGCTTATAAATACATGATTCCCTGCAGACTTGTTTTTTAGATGTTTGCTCGCAGGTTTTGGTGTAACTGTAAGCAAGCACACGGACAACACAAACCCAGGTGTGATGGGTAAATGGTCTCTTATGGATTTAATAATCGCAGCGCTCTGCATCTTGGGACGCTACAGACGCACCATTAACGCGATTATGTGAGGATAGTTTACACTTGGGTGAAAAACTGAACAATGCAATTAACTTCTTGTTTTTGTTGGACATGATTATGCATGTTCTGCTGCTGGTGTGAGATTCATCCAAACACCTTTATTAAGAAATGCGCAGGTTATACACTTATACACTGATTACCAATGTTTACAAATTGTGTTTTTTCTTTCTACTGTGGAAGTCAATGGCCAATTTAGGACATTCTTATAAATGTTATTTTATATTCAACATTAAAAAGAAAGTCACTTCATTGTGAGTAAATGGTAAAACATTTTGTTTAGGGATGAGCTGGCCCTTTAAAATGCAAAATAAAACGATATTGTATAGTTTGTTCTTTTGGGGTGACATAATTTAATATATGATTTATTGTCATTATAGCAATGCAAACGAAATTCTTTCCAAGTTTTGCTGTCATCATCAAGGTCATAATAAAAGTCTTAAACCATTTCTAATGAGCAAAATGCAGAGAGCCTTTCATAAACCAAAGTCAACTTATGGGCAAGAAATATTAGAGGCAGAAAACACAAATACAGCAAAACCGGAATATTGCATTGCTGACTAAATGTACGTTTTTTGTTGTGAAGGTGGGAGGAAATCTGATGAAGATGCGGAACAGAATTGAATGACACTACACTGATGTTCTCCACAAAGGACACTGTGAGTAAACTCAATTAAATGACCTTAACAGAGAGTTTAAAGATGAAACTAGAGCTGCATGTGCATGTTTGGTCCAGGGGTCTTTCTTTTAATCTTTTGGCATAATACTTTAGATGCAAATCATAAGATAATAAAAGATAACATGATTAATCAAATATGAATTAATTATCCATTTCATTTTCTGTTTTGCATGAAAAGTGACACCATACAGGTTAGTAATAAATTAAAGGGTAAAAAAACTCACTGATTCAAATGATCCGTTCAGAGTGAGTCTCCAGTAAACGACTCACTGATTCAAATGATCCGTTCAGAGTGAGTCTCCAGTAAACGACTCACTGATTCAATTGATCCGTTCAGAGTGAGTTGAATTTCTAATAACTAATTTCTGATGACAGCACATAATATTAGTCTAGATATTCTTCAAGACACTAGTGTTCAGCTTACAGTGACATGTAAAGGCTTCACTAGGGTAATTAGGGTAAAGTTAGGGTAATTAGGCAAGTCATTGTATAACAGTGGTTTGTTCTGGAGACAATCCAACACTAATATTGCTGAAGGGGCGAATAATATTGACCTTTAAATGACTTTAAAACTGTTAAAAACTGCTTTTATTCAAGCCCAAATAAAACAAATCAGACTTTCTCCAGAAGAACAAATATTAGAGGAAACACTGTGAACAACTCCTGAATCTGTTCAACATCATTCAGGAAATAATTAAAAAGAGGGCTAATAATTATGACTTCAACTGTTTATTTAATTTGATTTATATACTTATTGAATTTATGGCTATTATAATTGTAATTATTTATGTAAATTATGAATATAATACATATTATGAAGTTTGTTGTTAGCATGGTTGATAGGCATTGTCTGGTAGTTTGTTGTAATGTGTTTTGTGATTAACAATTAAAATGTTATAAAAAAAAGATGTAAAAAACTCACAAGAGACAAGAGGAGTGTGTCGAATGAGACCCAAATTTATTAGTCTACTGTTTAATGAGTGAAATGCTTTAAGTCACATCATTCCAGACCTTTGGCAACCGCGAGAGAAAGCAGCTATCGAGAACTGAAACCCCCCAGGATCAGGCCAAGTCCACGGAAATTCTATACAGTAAATAAAATAGATATAAAAGGGTTGTTGACGTGTGTGTGTGTGTGTGTGTGTGTGTGGATGTGTACATTTGGCGGTGTTGCGTCGCATCGGTTTCTCAGTAAAAGTGCATACAGGCTTCACTTCTTGACCTCTCCCAGATCATCGATGCTGTCGTCGTCCACCTGTGCAGTAGAAAACACATTACATTAATTACATGTTTATTTTTACTGACCGCTGAGGTTTTTAATACTACACACTACCTGATAATAGTGTTGTGGCCTATCAAGTTTCAGGAACAGCAGATAATAACTGGACTTCTAGTTGATGATTTGGTGTCAGAAGTGTCTCTATGAAAGGCAAAGACCTCTAGATTTTGCTTGGAGGACTGCATCCATACATCTCTGACATGACTCACATCACTGATTAATGAAGTCATCTGGAATGAAGAAGAAAGCCTTCAGCAGGATCCCAGAGTTCATCAAGAGTCTTTGTGTTCATCTTCAACGCCTCCTCCTTCATCAGCTCAATAATGTTGATGTCTGGTGACTGGGCTGGCCAATCCTGGAGCACTCTCTGCTTTCAGGAGCTTTGATGTGGAGGCTGAAGTTTGAGCAGGAGAATTGTCCTCTCCTGTGGTTTGTAATGTAATGGGCAGCACAGATGTCTTGATTCCTCAGGCTGTTGATGTTGCAGATCTCTCGCACGCCCCCATACTGAATGACCCCCAAACCATGATTTCTCCTTCACCAAACTTGACTGATTTCTATGAAAATCTTGGTCCATGCTGGTTCCAGTAGGTCTTCTGCAGTTTGGTGATGATTGATGCAGATCAGCAGATGATCCAGCAGAGAAATCCTCCTTCTGACACTTTCACACATCATCAACTACAAGTCCAGATATTATCTGCTGCTCTTACAACAGAGATCCACCACAAGACTTCTGTCAGGTTGTGTAGAACAGTCACAAGGTAAATTTACACAACAGAGCTTCTGTCTCATTTACAATCAGCGGATGTCAAAAATGGCTAAACCAGATTAAAAAAAACTAAGCATTTATATCTAAAAGCGAAAGCTATTATTAATTTAACTTCACATTTCACTGTCAGGTTGTACATTTATCAATAATACATGTATTTTTAATATCATTCAAACAAACATGACTAAAAGTCCTACAAATCCAATGCAAATATATTTTAAACATTACTCTGCTTAAAGTAACTATGAATTGCATTTATTTATTTAAACCTTTATTTTACCAGGAAATATCTCATTTATTTACTATATTTTATGAAATTTTGTTACATTTATTTACTTTTAGGACATTCAGTTACCTTTATAAAGTAATTTGTGATTGTAATTACTAAATTACTGGAGAGATTTTTTTATTAAAAGACACTATAACTGCTATTTATTAGATTGTTTTTAATAGGCAAACACATTCACACTATTGTCCAAAAAATATTTACACAACAGCTGAAAATATTTATTTATTTTTTATAAATACTTACTAAATAACAGCAATAATAGCAGGGTACACATTAGTATGCATTATTTTCTGTAAAAAGTAACTATGAAACACATTTAGTAAGTCATTTAAAGTGGTAACGCACGATTATAATGCAATACTTTCTAAACGAGTGAATGTAGTTGTGGTTTTTTGACCTCGGGCCACTTCTCCTGGATGACGTCGATTATATCGTCTGTAAAGTCTCCCTGAATGATGATTTCGTCTTCTGCCGTCACGGAGGCGCCGCAGGAGAATTTCTGAGCAAAAAACCTCTGCGCTTCTTTCAGCTCGATGTCTGAGGCAGAAAACACAGAATAATAATGATGAGATTTCATGAAGGACAGCGAAGAAGAGGAAAATATAGGAAACAGCAGCTTTACCGAACGTGGCCAGACCGCACACTCTCGTCACGTATTTCTTTTTGGCTCTGGGGATTTTTGCTATCGTGACTTTTTGAGGGACGGTCTTCTTTTTCTGTTTGATTTGACCTCTTCCACCTGCAAAAACAGAATATTCATATACATTACATGTGTTTTATTAATGTTTAGTATATTATATATATATATATATATATATATATATATATATATATATATATATATATATATATATATATATATGTTGTTGCTTATGAATAACAAAAGCAAATCTACTAAAGGGATAGTTCACCTAAAAATGAAAACACTCATCCACTAAAAACCTTCATGATGTTTTTCTGTTAGACACAAAAAAATATTTTAAATATGTTTTAATGCCTTATCAGCAGCACTGGCTATATTCAAGGCAACACTAGTATGTTATAGATAAATATATAAAAAACTAGTATGTATATATATATAAAAGCATTTCAGTTATTTTTGCTTTATTGTTTTCCAAAAAATACATTAAGATACTGGCAAATTATTTTGTCTATTTTACGTTTATTTTTAGAATACAATTCGTCACCCAGCATAAGTTTTTAATCTTTACTTTAATATGCCAATATAATAGCTCACTTTTCAAAGTTACCATAAATAAAAATGACAAACTCCACCCTCTCCCATCAGCCAATCACTGTCTGTATAGTAATGAGAATGTTGACATGACCCTTAGACCCGCCCTCACTCTCAGCTTTAGACGTCTCTATTTTCCTCTTAAGATGATTTTTTTTGTGAATACAGCCCTAGATTTATTATTGTGTGTGTGTGTGTGTGTGTGTGTGTGTGTGTGTGTGTGTGTGTGTGAGAGGTGTAGTGTTTGTAAATGTAAAGTAAATGTAACCTCTTTTCTGTTTCTTCTTTTCCTCCTCCTCTCCAGCAGGGGGCGCCTCACCTCTTCCTCTGCCTCCACCACCATCTTCTCCTCCTCCACCTCCTTTGCTCTCCTGTTTGGGTGCTGTACCTGCAGGACAGGTAAACGCAAGTGCTGTCCAGCGTTTCTGAACAATAGTCCAATATCAAACACAGGATGACTTACCGAGAGTCAGTTTGGCAAACACATCCGGAAAGTTCTTCTCAAGCCACTGTTTGCATTTGGCCGGCTCAGGCATGTACTCGCAGTACTGGCGAAATAACAGAAACACTTCAGTTATTTACATTCCCCTCACATACTAGAAAACTACATTACCCATAATGCTGTGCTGGAAATTCCACCATCAGAGAGCCTCAGCAAGACAAATGCGCTAAAAGAGCTCATTAGCATCAAGCTCTCAATATATATTCATATACTGCTTAATTTGCAGTTTTAGTTTCTTTAGACAACAAATTTTCTAAATTAAGTTCTGTATTTTTGCTGTTTTTAATTGGATTGCCATGTGCAATGATTCATGGGATTGTAGTTCTCCTATATGAATATAGTAACACTATATTAATTTAGTCAGACGCCCTAGTTTTTTTTTAATCCAACGCAAAATCAGCAAAGTCACTAATTTTTTCGATCCTGCAAAATTCTTTATTAAAACGTAAAAATTTAAATAATCTCATAAAACAACCAATTCCAAACCGTTTAATCAAATTATATTTGTTTCAGTTTGTAATTAACAGTTTTACATGACGTTGTATATGCAGGGCACATGATGTATGTGAGTGTCTCTCGAAAAATGACGTCTCACCTGCGCCCTCACAATCATTACATGAGAGCGGAGCAAAGTGTTTTGCAGCCTGTGCAGTAAGCAGACGCAGATGAAGCGCGAGTGATTTACACGTGAAGTCAAAGCAAAGATGTGATTAAGCCTCCTGTGGCACGAATTTGGCGTTTTGTGCGTTTGACGCGCTTCAGACTGCAAAATAAAGCGGGAAACATCAAACTAACCGAGCAATGGAACAGACAGAACAGCAAGCAGCTTGCAATGATGGAGGTTGATTCAAGGATGACGGCTGCTGGACGACTAAATTAAATATTACACAGACAATATCTGTGCTTTACATGTCTGGCTGGTATTATGATGTGCGTCAAATCGCTAAATGTTTTCGTTTAACTCTTTCCTGCAGCTAACAAGAGAAAACGCTTCCCTGCTATTGACACGTTTTACAGCAATCCGTGTTTTAGGTGTATTACATTAGAGGAAGCCCTAACGCATGTCCTGAGGGAGGTACATGATGTCAGATGCTCCGGGGAGTGAAATCTGAAAGAAAGCAAGATCGTGGATAAAAATAAAGAGTTTGGCTTATTTGGCTTAATCCCTACCGCTTTAGGTCGGTTTTAGATCTTGTCTCGTCTATTTTTCTGATTTGTGTCATTGTGTCAGATTGCACACCCCACACAGTAGGCTACCTAATATGGTAAATAATAATAATATTATATATTAAAACTAGGGGGTCTGTATAGTAAACACTACAGTGCATGTGAACCGTAACTAAAGCAATAACTACAGTGATTGATCTGTTGTGGTGATTCTACAGTTGCTATGGTAACTACAAGTACAATAACTGATCTGTTGTGGTGATTCTACAGTTGCTATGATAACACAAAAACTACAGTAATATAAACAAATGACCCATGACTGTAGTTTTCTACAACTATAGGATACATTACACTACAATACACCACACTTTACTGTAGTAAAAACTTAAGTATACATTACGGTTGATCAGTTTAGTATAGTTAATGCTGAAGTATGCTCAAAGAGTTGTTAATACTATAATATATACAGTATAATACTCTTCACTATAGTATGCTGCAAAAACACTTGACATTTTTTTTTACTATAAATTACTATAGTATTTTTTCCTGTGGTCATTCCGCAATTAAAATGAAATTTGCAGTCGTTTAGATTTTTCAGATACTTCTGTGCTTCAAACCCGTGTTTATAATGTCAGCTATCTGTACACTAAACACTTATTACACACAAAAATAAGAAACATTTCTCAACTGCACTTTCAATGCCTTATAGTTTTCAGTCATATACTCAAGTTATGTCATATGTCAGGCATAATGAGTTTAGGTTAATTCAATGTGTATATATATTTCTCTGGCTGCTTTGATTGATGACTTCAACATGTTATAAAATGCTCAATTTAATTCTTTAAATCCTGACTGTAAAAGTTCTTCCAGAAGCAGCATTTCTCAACATGTGGAAAAGCAATGCTGTACTCTATACACAATATGATCATTCAGAATGTTATAAACTCACCTCTGCAGGCAGGGAACACACTGTAGGAAAGAACAGAAACATTAGTCTAACATCATATTTACACATACATGCCATAAAATAATGAACTCTTGAAGGTGACCTATTATCCTGTTTATACAGGATCTAAAATGTGTCTCTGCTGTGTCTAGAGTGTATAGTGAAGTTTCAGCTCCAAACAGCACACAGATGATGTTCTCCAGCTCTCTGAAACTGACCCGTTTAGGCTTTGGTCCTAATTGTGGCGTTTTGGTGATTGCCGCTTTAAATTCAAATGAGATTGTGCTCTTTTCAAAAGAGGGCAGGGCTACAGACGCCTATGTGTCTCCATAGGGACAGATGTAAAACAGCAGTGTGTGTGTTGTGAGTGCTGGTCAGGTGTGTGTGTGCGCTTCAGTGTGAGTGTGTGCTTCATCTAAAACTCCACATCTATAATCCTCTTAGTCTATGCTGACATGATCTTCAGCAGCTCAAACACTCTAATGGCTGATGGACAGACGGCTGCTTCTCACTCAGGCCTGCTGATTATGCTAATGAGATGGAGAGATGGGCACTAGTGGGCGGGGCTTTCCCCATCTGATGACACAAACAAAGGGAGAATGTCAATCAAAGTGCTTCTGCATCAAGTCTGATTAGAACAAACACAATTCATTCATGTTGAGCACCATTAGAGGCTGCTGGAGATATTCACACACTGCTGACACACAACTGGGTTTAAACCCTGCATAACTCACTTTTGCATAATAGGCCCCCTAATATTATATGAGTATAATAATAATTATAATAAGTGGTATAATGTACATTCAGTCAGTTGTTTTTGCAGAATAAACTCTTCAGTCCTAATCAATGAACTGTCAGATTTATTCTGCGAAAACAACCGTCTAGACGTAAATTATACCTTATTATAATTTAATATCGTCTCACCTCCACAGTAGAGCACTTTCAGTGGGTATTTTGCATCGGGGTCGGCTCGATCCACTTTATTTTCTGGCGAACCTGACTCTGCGTTCTCAGTAGTAGCCATATTTCATGAATCTACACAAATAAACAAAGTACCATGGGTTACCTTAGACCAGCTGATGCACACAGACGAACACTGCTTATGGGACATTCTAGCAGAAACGTACATTTTCACTTATAAGAAATGTGCCGGCCTGACTTAAGCTTGTCTTCCTCAAAGATTCAATGATAGAACACATCCTTGATCACGGTCAGCTTTTCCATCAAATGATAACATGTATTGCACGCATTTCATCTTCAGTTTATTGCAAATGTGACTGACAGAAACAAGGGGACATCTGTAAAATAATATTTATTTGTAGAATTTATTTATAGTTTGATGTTTTTAATTCATTGATGTTAACGAGAACAACTTAAACTTGCTATTTCTAAATTTTTTCCCCCTAAATACCAGTTTTTAGCACAACAAAACTATTAAAGCTGTAGGTTTAATTGTGCTGAGGATGAGGACAATAACAGGGTTGTACATTTGTAAAGTGTTTTCTTTTTTTAAAAGAACAATATCCGAGACCCAAATGAATGACATATTCCTTTACTGAACAACTTTCAGCCACAGATAAAGCAAATGCACATTTCAGGTAGAATGTACCACATATGGTCCAGCTCAAAATGGCAATTTCTGAGTTAATTTTTTCCAACCAGCAAGTTTGTTTTTGACCGGAAATGACACAAGGTGCTTCCCAAAATATTTTAAGACGATGTACAGG